CTATATATAAAAGTTTAAAAGTCAACATTCTACACTATTTCACTGCTGATTATTTTATCAGAAACTAGGGATTTTAAATAATATTTAATTTAATAATTGTGTAAGCACAAAAAATCTTATCGGTTACACCATTATTCAGTGGTCTCCAGGGATGGGGCTAACAGTTAACGCCACTGGAGGGGAGCCCGCTACCACCCTGTGCTGCTGCCCCCTCTGTATCAAGAGCAGGGAAGGGGGCAGACAGGTTTTTAAGCCGGCTTTCCCCGAACACAAACTCCTGCCTGCCCCTCCCCACTGCCTTTGTGGAAGGCAGCAATGGGAAGAGTAGGTGGCACAGGGAACTGGCTTGAAAGCTGGCTTCCCTCCTTCAGCTCAGTACTGCTACCTCTCTATCACAGGCAGCAGCCCAGCGGGAGAGGGGCAGGTAGCTCCACGTGATCCTGTGCTCCCACCTTCACCCCATTTGGGGTCGATAAGCCCATGCTTATCAGTTAGTGGTTTAAATGACTATAGGCTAACATCTCTAGCAGAAACATGTGGCTACTGTATATTGTGGGTTTGGGAGCAGAACTTGAGTACATTTTTATCTTTTTTCCCAATTGCACCTTGTTTATAAACAATATTGAATAGTAGATAGTAAAAAAAATTATGCTTTTTAAAAATATTTTCAAGTAAGGATTTTGATATCTGTAACCTGTTGAGTACAAATAAATAATTACTATTTTAAGTTTATAAAATAAATATTCTAACAATCAAGATATGTTGATTTCTGCATTTCTTTAGGGCTAATCTGAGTTGTCATTAGGAAATCACTTTTCTGAGCCACAGAGTTAACATTTCCAGTAGTACAGTAGAGTCCCTATCATCCGACCTAAACGGGACCGACACATGGTCGGATTACCGAATATGTCGGATGATACAGACTCTACTGTAGAGAGCAAAGGAACAGCTGAACAAAGTCCCCGCAAAGCAGCATCAGCTGTTCCATTGCTCTCTAGGAGCAGCTGCTGCAGCTTCTTCCTGGATGCTTCCAGGCAGCAGCGGCATCAGCTGTTCCCTTGCTCTCTACAGTAGAGTCCGTATCATCCGACATATTTGGTAATCTGCGAATATTCCCAGGCAGGAGCGGCAGCAGCAGCTTCTCCTAGAAAGCAAGGAAACAGCTGATGGGGCAGCAAGCGGGACGTTCTCTCGCCCCATAGCCCACGCTGTATCCGACCCAACTTTGTCCCCAGGAGCTGCAGGGTCAGATAAAACAGAGTGTTGGATTACTGGGTGTCGGTTAATCCGGACTCCACTGTACTTCAGTTTCTCTCCAGCTAGAGATAAAATATCATGAATACATATGTGCAAATCAAGATGAAATAACTTACTAAAAAGTCTGCTGTCTGAGTTTACATTGTTATGTTTGGAGCAGCTTAACTAGCTTGATTTAAATAGATTTCCCCCCTAAGAGAAGAAAACTGGGCCTTTTTTCAGCAAAAAAAAAAAAAGCTAAATTAGAGTAGCACATATGCCTCTTACAAACTTTGAAGAGTAAATATTGAATTGTTTAGTATTAGATACCAAAATGTTTAAATTCTAATCTATACAATATTTTGCATATTCATTATGATATTTTGCAGTTTACTTAAAACAGTTTTATGTTTTATATATTTTAAAGCTAAATTTTAAATGTGATATTATTGCTGCTTTGGGGAAATATTTTACACTTACACTATGTTTGTTTATCAGGTGTGTAACCTTCCTACATCAGATATAATTAAGATTTCTAAACAAGAGGATTTACTGATAAAGGAATTAGAGACTCTAAAGCATGTAAAAGAGTTGTTACTGCATCTGCTTAGAACAACGGAGCATAAAGAAGTAAGATGACCCAAAGCAATCTTGGGGAAGCTTAACAGTGAACGTAAACACATTTTATTTTTTTCCTGATCTTTTTCAATAGTGTTTTGAAAAAGAGAAATAAATAGCCATTCACAGAACGTGCAAAATCATTTTGTTTCAAATATTTATTGTTCGAATCAACAGAGTTCCTTTTCACATTACAGTAGACTTCCGATAATCCGGCACCCTTGGGATCCAGGTGGTGCTGGATTATCAGAAATGCTGGACTATCAGGAGGTACTCTGGCAGGGGCGGGTCTCGTGGGACGGGAAGCGGGGGAGAGGGCAGGGGTGTGCCAAACCCTCCCTCCTGCTGCAGGGAGGCAGAGCCTGCGAGTGGTGGAAGAGGAGAGACGGTGACAGGCAGGCAGCCGCATTCAGGACGTTCTGGTCAGTTACAGTCACTCCGGCTGGATCCACAGCCGACACGCAGTTAATGTAATTTTCTTCTCTGCTTCC